CCGATTCCAGCTTAACTCGTTGACAGCTACTCCTCTCCTACACCTCCATTTCCTTCCCCAAATAGACTTTCAAGATGCACAAACGAACCATCGCAAATGTGATGGATATATTTCTAAGCATTTCAACTCCACCTGCCTCCACGTGGTGCGAAGAGGCGATGGGGCTTTGCCTCAAGCATTCTGCGCTTCACTTTATCTTATCTTCGTATACCCATGCCTTAATGCATTTGTCACTGACTGCACAGCACTGTTGTAGGTATGCGTAAACCGACGTTCGCAGCCACCTTCAGTGCCATTGCGTCAACGCTGACTATGGCAATCGATGATCCACACGATGTTGAGGGCACATTCAGAGGCTACGAGGTGTTGATGAAGGTGGGTGGTGTTGTCTCGCCAACACCGTGGCAATCAGTGGCCAACCTATCCGCTTCGAGACGATACTACAGTGTGGAGGGCATTCAACCTCTCTCAACACATACGGTCACCGTGCGTGGACACCTCTCCTCCAAACGCTTCAGTGCTCTCGCTGACCCAGTGGAGTTCATGGGAGTTGATAAAGGTCTGCGCCTTCCCTCTCCACCTTCCATTTTTCACTCACACCACCACCACCACCACCACATCCAATCGTATTTACGTCTCTGCCCTCCACACCTCCTTACCTCCCTCCCTCCCTCCCTCCCTTCTCTCCTCCACAGCTCTCTCTGCTCCCCAACATGTGCAACTGGTGGCCCTCGACTCTCACAGGGTGCACATCACATGGCAGCCACCTCTTCACGCCTACGGTCGCATCACACGCTACGCCATCGCATGGCGTGTCGACAACATCGCCAAACCATCAATCTACCTCTACAAGGAGACCAACTACACCTTCACCACCTTGCGACCTGGACAAACCATTTCTGCTTCCGTTGCTGCAACCAGTCGGCCTGACTCGTCCATGAACATTCAGCTCCACGGTGATGCCTCTCCATATGCATCCGCAAGCACACCACTCCCCGTGGAAGGTGGGTAGCATCTG